AATGTTTTATTCCTTTGAGTATATGTGTTGAAACACAAAAATGATGCTTTAACCAACTAAGTAACTATCTATCTAACTAACTAACTTTTTTCTTGCTTAATTGTTAAGGATTCTTTTTAAATAGCTTTACTTTTGATTTGCAGATTCTGTGATTAAAATTGAAAGTCATGGAAACATTTTTAAAAAACATAATATTCGGGCATTTGAGTTTTTCTTTAAACTCGCTTTAAACCACAACCAGACAAGAAAAACTTTACACTAATTTTCTCATCTCAAAATGTCAGCAAAAAAAAAGTTATTACTGCTTATGATGGCATAATTTGTTGGATTTACTATATAAAAATTATTACAAAAATACATTTAGAAAATGTTTTTACAGCTGACATATTAAGGCATTGACCTCTTTAACAATTTTTTGGCTTAACGCTCAAATTGTGCTAAACACAAAGAAAGAAAATCAAGTTCAGCTAGAATAAAAGAGCTTTTTGTCTTTTCTTCTTAGACATAAAGCCTTAGGACAATTTATTTTACTTATAAATAAAATGCTGATTATTCAAATGGATAATCTCACTTCGGTCTAGACACAGCAAATTGTTTCCCAGCCTGCTGTTTGCATTTAATGTGGGAAACAGGAAACTGTAGTCTGACCCACAAAGTTTCAGTAACCAAAAGACATTTTATGCCTTTTGTTCAACAGGGAGAGAAAATCATGTGCTTTTTTTGTTAACTGTTTCATCAACTCTCCCTCCATCCTGTCGCCCCTTTGCTCTGTCAACATGTTTACAATAAACAGGCAGAACTCCCCTTTAAAGGGGCAAAAAACACACAAAAAATAATACTGTCATAATAAGTAAATTGCATAATAGTTAACATAAATACATACAGATAGTAAGAGCAAAAAAGCAACAATGCCTGAAATCAGATATGATCCTAGGCCTCTGAAAGACAATCGTGTTTTTGAGGCTGAACTGAATTCCTGCTGCAGCTGTGAGGTACATATCTTCTGAGGCAGGATGTTCAAACAACAACAGACCCTACCCTCTCCTCCTGTACCCTCCTAGAACAGGACATGAGTGGACATCCTGTCAGCAGAGGTCTTTTCCTCTGTAAGCTATTATTAGCAGAAATCAGGGTTCAGTTTACTCCACTGGGCCCTAATAAGGTGTCATATCTCATTTATGAAATTTATAATAATCTCTTCTCTTAATAACAAGCAATAAGCTAGCCTCTGAATTACCTAAAGCAAAGGGACATATGCACAGCTTCAACCAACAGCAACAAACTCCAGAAAAGGAATGTGATTTTAGGATATTTAGCAAAAAAACAGTCCAACCTGCTCCTACTTCTTGATTATCTAAAATCAGACATCTAAATGTTGAGATTCACACCCTTGCTTAAAGGAATGAAAGAGGATTTTTCTCAGGAATTAAGTGTCCAGATTACTCTAAAATAACTTAATTGATGGATGGCATTCTTGCATTTATAGTTCCCCTACCCCCAAAAAATAAAATAAATACATAAACTCTGGCCATGATGGGGCCTATAAAATATTAACCAATCCACTTTCCCTACTGTTGAAAGTGGATTTGCTACTTCTTTGTTAATCAAACATTTTGTGTGCTTGCCCCCATGATACTTAGTAGGCTCCAAGCAAAACTCATAGTTTAGCGGTCCGCCATTATGCAGAATGACAAAGCAGTATTCTTTTTTTAAGCTATTTGTTCACTCTTTCGTGTAAACTGCATCATCAATGACCGAAAAGAATCCTGATAAAATGAAAAGAAAGCATTTTTTCAATGTAGTTGAAAAGAGGAGAGAAAGTGGGAGAGAATAGAGGGTGTTCAGGAGATTCTTTTCATAGATGGCGGACCCAGAGGGAGCAAAAGGGCCTGAAAATGTAAACTTTGTTTGCAAAACTTCTCCTGCACAGGTAATTTACATTTAATTCTGTAATAAGTACTGTATATTTTTTTTATTACGAAACATGAAGTGATAATGCCAGCAGAGACCTCTTCTTATTATGGAGATTTCCTGCAGACTAGTTGCATCCTGTCACTTTGCTGCCTCTCTAGTTGAAATACAAAATTAGAGTAGAGAACTTTTGCGAAGCAGGGAGCAAGCACTTCGACACAGCAGTTGGACATATCTTCCACCACAGAATCCTCTTTCCTGCCTTTAAGGTGCCTTGGAAAAAAATATTCATACCCTTGAACTCTTTTCATTTTCGTCCCATAGTAGTACTATACTTTTATTTATTTTACGGAAGACAAAAATTTACATTATATTTGCATAACTGAAAAAATGTTTCTGAACACATTTTTATAATGACATACTGAAAAGTATGACATACATTTGCATTCAGTTTGCTTTTTTCTGATGACTCCATGGTTTAATGCAACCATCACCTGCTTATCAGCTAAAGGACAGCATCGTGTGACAAACGACTGACAGGTGTGGGATAAAGTTATGCAGATCTTTAAAGGTGCTGTAGGAGATCTTGGAACAACAGTTCCAGCAAGCTATATTTTTGAACATACACAACCATGCCTCTCCCTTCAGACCTCCCCTCGAAGCCACGCCTTCAAAACACATGAACGCGCATGCTGTCTGCAGCACATAGCTGATCTCGGAGCTGGCAGGGAGACAGACAGCACTGATGATGCAGAGAGCTATGAACACTCCTCTGAGACAGTTTATTAACGCCCAAATTACCTTAAAAACATGTTCGTTTTTATTATCCTGATGCCTGCAGTTTGGATTACGTACATGAAAAACTCCTTCCAACCGGGCCACAGGCTGCTGCTGAATGGGAATCCTAGTGACAGCGCGTCGCCGGTGTACGTGGGTCTGAGCGGCTCTAGTAGAAATAATATTTCAAGGAAGGATGGTAATCTGGATGAACTGACTGCACTGTCAATGTTTTCAGGTGGACTTTCTCACTTCAAAATAGATTCAAATTACTTTTTACCCACTGGTCACAGCAAATATAGCTGCCATTGTTACAGGCAAAGAAGCTCCACCCAACACGCATCAGACCCACTTTTTCCACCGTGCAGCTGGTGCAGCAGAGATGCTTCAACTGCACATCAGAGCTAAACTTGTACAAGCATCAAAAATGAAGCAGCACACGCATTTTTGCTGCTCTTGCCTCTTTAGGTGTGAATAGGGTGACCAGACATCGCCTTTTTCCCAGACATGTCCTACTTTTCATACCTAAAAAATGTCCAGGGGGAATTTCAAAATCGTCCGGGATTTTGGTCGACTACAGTACAGCAGAACCAAGCCGTGAGCTCCAGGGCTGGGGACAGAGTGACCAACCCTGACCTGTTCATGTGTCAGGTTACTCGGACAGCGGGGAGGGACAAGCAGAAGACCATGATTGACATGTCAGGAACCAATCTTGTACAACGGACCGTCTTTTGTGATTGGTTGTGAGTGGTTGGGATTATTCATTGATTTCTATATGTAGCGGGGACCATTTATTATAGTTTCACTTCTAGACCTTCTATTTCACTGCTTGCTAAGCTGCTGTGGGGAGATCTTTAAGCCACATAGTAAAAAATGTGTCAGAAAAGTTCTCCCACTACACCTTTAAATCACAGTTGCCAGGAGACCCAGAATGACTTAGGAAGACTTATGGGATGCACAGCTAAGGAGAATCTGCCTACAGGCAAATCTTGCCTTTACAAAAGAGGAGCAAGAAGAAAGAGTGTTAAAAATGCCTAATTTCAAGTTGCCACAAGAGGGACACAGCAAACATTTAGAAAACAATGCTAACTGTGGACTCCATCCAGAACACACCACATCCTGCTGCATAAACACAAATGCTGGTCAGTAAAGGAAGATGAATGAAATAATATACAAGTTAATCCTAGAGAATCATTTTACATCCTGCAAAATTCTTCAGACTCGGTTAACCTTCCAAATGATTGACTGGTCAAAAGATACTTTACATTCAATCTAGTCAACTTTTGAGGTAATTTGTGGGGAAACAATTGCAAAAACGTATGATGTGCAAACACCACTGGCAGCCCCCAATGACCCTGTATGGATTTAGAGGATATAAACGATGGACATATGGATGGACGGACATACCACTCAAAGCACTTTTGCTCTACAGCCACGTTAACCTGGTCCAACACTTTTCTACAGAAATGCTAATTGGTAGGCAACTACTGATTAGGTCCCCGTCGACACAAAGTCAAAACGAACACGAAACGCTGATATTTTCCAAAACGTTTGTCGTAAAGACGGAG